GGAGTCTATACTAGCATGCAATTCGAAGGCTTATACAATCAGGCATAACCTAAACATGCCATCCTATCACTGGTTGATTAGTTCTAGCATGCAAATCTACAAGCTCATATATGCATACAAAGGAATCTAACATAGATCCTTATCTCTAATCTAGCATGCGAATCAGATAACCATATCATATCACATAACAAACATGAATTGGTATTTTGGGAACCACTTACTTGAGCTCGGCCGATTGCACGCACAACACTCCTTGTTCTTTATTTAAAATCCTTAATTTTAATTTTGGAAAAATAATTATTCTTGTAAAAATACCTTCAAACCCAATATTTTAGTCCATACACACTCGAGAGTGTGTCCGAATCCCTCAAACCAGGGCTCTGATACCAACTTGTAACAACCCAAAATTTAGAGCCAAAATTTTCATTTTAAATAAGTAATTATAAAAACTAGTAGTAAGAAACAGCAATAGTGTCAACTCATTTCATAATAAAAAAACCAGTATTTCAAATAACCCAAAATGTCATAGAAAATTAATATCAGAGTAAAAGTTAACCATACAATATGGTTAGGATTAATCCATAATTCCAATCGAATGGTCCAAACATGCGGGACCTGACAATTCCAAATTAACATATCCAAAATTAGGGTTTTCTAAACCCTAATTAGGGTTTTCTAAACCCTAATTAGGGTTTCCAACCCAAACGCATTCCAGTTAGTCCTTTTGTCAAGTTTCTAGGTTAATTAATGTTAATTAAGTTAGGCACCACCCGCTAACACCTCGGGTAATGGTGGTCAACGGCGGCTCACAGTGGTGGCGACGAGTTTCCTTGATTATTCAGGCTAAAATAAAATTGTCCAACATAATATCCAAATGAATACATAAACACACCCACACACACACCCACATACACTCATCCACCCTTGTAGCGGCAGGCAGTGATTTGAGGTGACAGCCATCACCTCGCGGTGGTGGTGATAGCTTTTCTTGTAATATTAGACTATGCAAACACTAAACAGGACACACACTAACAATCGAAATACATACACATGCTTTTCCCATAACAGGAACACAACCACCCACCTTATGGTGGTGTACAGCGACGGTAGTGGTATGAACAACGACAACAGAAGCAGCTAACGCTGGCAAACAACGGGTTCCAATAGCAGCAACAAAGTGGATGAATTGGGGGCTTGTACCATCATGGAGAGGGACGTAACGGCTGCTGAACACAAGTCTAACTGGTCTCCTTACAACCATTGTATCAGGCTTGAACTCTCGCGATCGCCGGCGATGACAGTAATCATGGTGATGCATCGGCAGCAAGGAGGAGAAAAGAACCGATTAGAACAAAAACAACGACAATCACACAACCAACTGTGTGTCTGCTTCAATAGAAGTGGTGCATCAGCGGCTAAAGATGAGAACCCGACAGCATCCAAAGTTTGCTTTCTATCCTTTTTCTATCTCGGTACTCTTGTCATAAACAAGAAGGTGTCGCTGGTTGTCTCCTTTGGTCAAAAAAACGAGAGGAAAGGGGTGGTGGCGGATGGTGAACTCTGAGTGGCGACTAAGTATGGTTTTATGGTTAGGGTTACGGGAGTAAGGGTGACAGATTATATGCATCTATCCTGTCTCAAACATTTGGCCATATTGACACCTTCAAGCCCTCCATGTCAACTCTTTTCAACTTAAATACCATAATTTACCAAACAGCCATTAGCTTTTAAAATTCTTTGTAAAGCCAGTCTGGAAATCACCTTTTTAACCCCCAAAATCTCAATTATTAAATATTCAACCGTTCCTTCTCTAATAATTACCACCTAAAACCCTATTTTACTCTTTACCCATTGCTTCCCACAATTTATTACAATTCAAGTCCAAATATTACAATAAAGATCCCAAATTTCCAGAAATTATGTCATTTAGCTCCTTATGACTAACATTGGTAACTTATTAAAGATTTAGGGCTAATATTCATTTATTAATTTTATTTATTTATTTATTTTATAACCGGGACCCTATAATAGGATGTGAAGGTGGGTTTTACCTTATCCTATATCAGCTGGAAAGGAGAACTAATCATTACTTTTAAGGGGTGTGGATACCTTCCTTATCACAATGCGTTTTAAAGCCGTTAGGGAAACAGATCCTATAAGAACTCTATAGTGAAGCGTGTCCAAGCTAGTGTAATCCATGGATGGGTAACCCCCTAGGAAGTTTTCTTAATGCGAGCCGCAAGCAGACACACAGATGAGGATGTTACAAAAGGTATCAAAGTTGGAGCATGGGTTGTAATGTTCGATGGAGACGTCGAACACTATAATGGGGGGGTGAAGGTGGGTTGCACCTGATCCTACATCAGTTGGGAATGAGAATTAATCATTCCTTATAAGGGGTATGGGTACCATCCCTATCACAACACGTTTTAAAGTCGTGAGGGCAGCAAATCCCATAAGAACTTTGCAGTTAAGCATGCGTAGACGAGAGCAATCCATGGATGGGTAATCCCTTGGGAAGTTTTCATTCAGGGAGCCCACAGGGACAAAATTGTGAGACGTGCTAGAGGCGGATGTTACATAATTGGCATATGTCAGTTGGCATCGTCGGTCAGTCCGAATGACATAACCATAAACTTGCAGTGACCGTACCAAGCCCTGTATGTTATCTTTGGAATCTGCGGGGAAGGACCTTCCCTATCACAACACATTTTAAAGTCGTGAGAGGAACATATCCCATAAGAACTCTACAGTTAAGTGTGCCCGGGCGAGAGCAATCCATGGATGGGTAACCCACTAGGAAGTTTTCGTACGGGGAGCCCAAAGCAGACAATATTGTGATACGTGCCAGAGGGGGATGTTACATAATTGGCATATGTCGGTTGGCATCATTGATAAGTCTGAATGGTATAATCATAAACTTGCAGTGACCATAGCGATCCCTGAGTGTCATCTTTGAAATGTCTACTTCTTGTACTCTGAGTTTGTGGCAGCCAAATCTTAGATCGATCTTTGAGTAATAAAGAGATCATTGTATCTAGTCGACTAGGTCATCGATCCTCAAGAGTGGATATTGGTTCATGATGGCGAGTTTTTTCAACTCTCGATAGTTGATGCGCATTCTGAATGATCCATCCCTCTTTTTTACAAACCATCTCGGAGCTCTTCATGAAGAGAAGCTTCGCCGAATAAAACCTTTGTCAAGAGGGTCTTCAAGTTGGCTGGATAGTTCTTTCAACTTTCGATGGTGCCAGATAATAAGGAGATCTTGCCTTTAGTGCTACACTTGGAATCAGATCAATTCAAAATTCGACTTGTCTAACTGGAGGCACTCCAGGAAAATCTTCTGTAAATAAGTCCGGGTAATTGCACACTTGTGAAATGCCTTTGATTTCCTTACCTTTGCTTGCATATCAACCACATGGGCCAAACAAGTGAAGTATATCTTCTAGAAACACCTTTTGCCTTCATGGAACAGATGACTCTTAGATTCTTTCCTGATTTATCTCTGTAAATCAAGAGAGCTTCATTGTTGTGTAGAGGTAGTCAAATGAACTATTCGTAATATAAAATATCTGCTCGATGAAGTGATAACTAATCCATTTTGAGGATTACATTGAAACTTCCAATGGTCATATGTATTAGGTTGGCATGAAATACATGGTTATTCAGGGTGAGAAGGCAATTAATGAGTATTGCTAAGGTGCTTTCTAACTGGTTGTTTGCTACTTATACCGTGTAATCTTTGTTAAGTTTTCATGATTTTATGGTTAATCATGTTTCTCAACTTATGGGAAAATAAAGCATCTATCGACACTAAAATCAAACGGTACCGATGAATAAAATATTGTTGATAGGAAATGTGGTAGTAGCCACAGTTGGTTCCCGGCGAGCATCTCCAACACCTATCACAATTGCTCTTCCTTTTTCACCCTGATTCTTAAGTTTCGGGGAATCCTTCTTGAAATGACCTAGTTGATTTCATTTGAAGTAACTTCGGCTTCCTTATGCAGCAGTGGTTGAGGTTGTGTTATTTGGGGCCTTTCTACAAAACTTAGAGGTATGTCCTCTCAAGTTATAGATGTTAGAGACATTCAATCTATGACATGGTGGATATTACACTTGGTATAGTGAGCTAAAGTTATAAAGGAAGGCTTTGATGGAGGGGGTGAGTGTTTATGATTACGGAGTACACATTCCCAGTTTCTGGATTGGGTTTGTGATGCTTGAAGTTCTTATTTGACTTGCCATGGAACTTCCTTTTTGTACTCTCAATATAGTTCTTTTTAGTTTGTGGGGTCATGGTACCCTGATAGATATGTTGCTTAGTCAATTGATAGCTCAATTTCTTAGCACTATCAAAGGTGGTTGGTTTGGATGCAGTAACTAGACCTTTGAACTGGTGAAGTTAATCCCTTGATCTACCTTTTGATATTTTTTTTATTATGGGTTCACTATTCCTTGGTAAAAGTTTTATGAGGTCGTTAAATCGGGAGGTGTAAACATTCACCTCTAATCCTTTTGTGGGAAGGTTCCAAATTATAGAGAATGGTCGATTCCAGAAATCCTACAAATTTCTAAATTATATAGAGAGAATTAAAATCCTACTGATTTCAAATGATAGAGAGAGAAGTTTTGAGGCTACTGAATAATCGATTTTGAATTATAGGTTTCTCTGCTATGATAGTAGTGGAGTTATTGGTTCTTTGTTCTTCTTCGGGTTTATGCTAACTAGGAAAATTTGAATGTTATCCTAGATTTTTAAGTATTTAAAATGTATATGTTGTTTTGGGGTTGATATAACACTTCTAATGTACTAGGTTTCTGCAGCGAATTCGGAGAACATCCTTCAATCTCTGAAACTTTCAACGATTATAGTTTGTCAAACACCTAGCTCAAGGTTGGTTATGCACCAAGCCCCACCATAAATAATATAGGCTACGTTCTAGGTTCATTTATGGTATGGCTTATGTATGGTGCTAAGCTCAGTTGAGGCGTTTTATCTAAAGGGTTGAGTTGGTAGTTATAGTTGGAGGCATGTTAGAGTTTTATTAAGTGTTCTCATTGCCAGTCAGAGTATATACAACTCTTATATATTATTGTTTGTGGGGTTTGCAGTATTATTAAATTTTGTTTTGTACTCCAAGACTACCAAGTACAGACAAGTGCCAGAGAGGAAACATCTGAGGGCAAGACCATTTTAGCAATTAAGACGTTATGAAATCCAACGACCGTATGCGACCCTTCGAGCTAGATTCCATGTACCATAAGTAGCCAAGAAGTATTGTAATTAATAATATAATACTTTTATTTAAAGCTAGTTGCTTTAATTGTATTCCTCTTTCGAAGATATGAGTTCTCTATAACCAATTTAGCTCTGATACCAAGTTGTTACACCCCCGACCAAGGCGGAGGAACAGGCCGAGCTGTGAGACTAAGTTCAAAGATCACAGGTAAATTGTATATATAACACAAGTACAACAATAAACAAAATAGAAATCCTATTCCATGTTGATATTTGAATATAAGGCTTTTACCGATAATAATAGTACATGAATTGCCTTAACAAATAGGCATATAACACACAGTAAGTAAAGTAGGTTGCTAGTAATCCAATCTTTCTTTAATGTCTGTTTAGTGATTTCTTGGGAATACATGTAATTTTGAAGGTCAACACAAGGTTGGTGAGAGTTATAGGTTTTCTGGTAACAACAATAATACTTTTAGTAAGTCTAAAACATAATTTCTTTGTATGTATAACAATAGTTAAAATTGTGTTTGCAAAGAGTCTTTGAAAGCCAAAATGTATCTTTGTATAAGTAAATCCATACTTAAAACCGTATTTATAAGGAACATTGAAAGACAAAAGGTATCTTTGTATAAGTAAATCCATACTAAAAATTGTTTGTCAAAACAACCAAGCCCATGGTTTGTAGTGAGAAAGAGATATTCCAGATAATGTTTATTGTAAGTCCTATAACTGAGCTATGTGACTGAATTTACCCCCTACAATGCTTCATTGGACGTTGTAGTAACGACTGTAGATACTTATCACCCACATCGATTTATCAGTCGAGGTTGTAACTAGAAACCGCAGATGGGGATGTCAACCCCATATAGATCTATACATATGTATCTCGCTCTGAAGATTAACAATTATACTAGTGTGGGTATGCTAAGTATTTAGACTCAGCTAATGAATATTGTCTCGCTAAAAATCCCTTTACTAAAATTTTTGTGAATAGCTCTCAGCCCTAACTTAATTGTGATGAAGTCACTAGGCATAATGAAGTTCATTATATAAAGTTTATCAAAGTCGACTATGTTTTGTATGTATGTAAATGTGTAATGTACTTTCTTTTATAAAGATGTATGTTTCGAAGTAATGAACATATGTACATGTATAAAATTTATGTATTTAAACATACAAATATAAATGAATAGTAATAGCTTGAATCCTTGAAATACTACAAAGTTTTATAACGTGTTTGTTATAATATATGATGTCACATGAAAATCATATATTTTCGTACCATGTAGCATTTTTTATGTGAACTAGTTATT